AGGGCACTATCGACTTTGCTTGTTGGACGTCCTACGTCACTGGCATCAGTAGCTATATCAAGGACCAAAGACAATCATACCATGAACCCATTATCATAAAATCGAATATAATATAAATAAATCGAATTGTGATTTGAGTGTATTGTTACATTCCTTTTTAAATTAGTCATTTTGAGTAATTTTTATGAAAAAAATCTAGGATTTCAGCTTCTCAGATAATATAGAGAATATATAAAATAACTGTTAGTTGCAGCCCTGCTTCAATGGTAGCCCACTGCCTCCAGTGTATAGATGAAAGGGTGAGGAATGAGAAGCAGGTTAACCATTGGAGCATATCACGCTAGCTATCATGTAGTGAAAAAACACTCAAGTCAGATGCTTGATTGACAACAGCAGGTTGAACCATGGGCTTCTTGTCTGATGATATCATTCAAGGTTTATGAGGACGCACTAATTATTTCTCAGCAATATCTTCACTTAAAACTGTCCCATTCCAATTCTGCAAATTTTTTCAGTTGACTCATGCAGCAGCACACAGTAAAAAAATCTCCAGTCATTCTGGAGTTAGATGAAGTATTTCCTAATGTCCACATTTGCACACAGTTCCTCTCTCTTTGAGTAAATCTCTGCTAGTCACCGTTTCAGAGGAAAATAAGACGGCCTTCACAATCACTTCATATTACATGTAACTGCTCAAGTTTGGACAGTGGAATATCTCTCGTCTTCTGTATTTACTATGGATGTGCATTCCTTCCCTTTTAAGCTATTAAATTTGAGTAATTACCCACAAGCCCATGCCATGTTCACTAACCCGTGCAGGAGCCTGCCAGCGCCTCTTGTCTCTTAATTACAAATTTGAATCCTTAATGCATGTATGGGAAGCAAAATAATTAGACAGATATTTCCTCCATCTCTTTTTTCTTTACTGACGTGTGTGCAAATGCCCAAATGACCTGACGTGTCTGCCAGGAGAGAGTGAGAAAAAAGCCTGCATATCATCTGCATATTAGAAAGGAATTAACAGCTCCTGCAGCAGCGGCAGGCACATGCTTTCTAAAGCTGCACTCTTCATTAGAATATCTGAACAGTTATGAATATGCTTCAGATTATGTTATTGTCTCATTATCTTTTCTTTGCTTTGCTACTAATGAGCGGGACAGGGCAGCTAAACGAGAGAGTACCGTTTACATTATTTGAAATGTGCCGTAATAATGCTCATTAGATTGTTCCCTTTTTGTTACACAGTTGCTTTAATTAGATTTTCGTCTCTACTCCTTAATAAGAACGAGGGCATCCATTGCTAATAATGCCTGTAATGTATTTGTTATTACAAGATGAGACAAGAAGAGAAAGAAGTGAAATTTTTTTCTCTTTTTAAGTGTCTCTTAATTGAAGGAGGCTTAATTGGAGCTTGTTTGACTTCCATTTTATTTCCAACGAGTAATCGACTACAAGAACAATGCCCTCCTCCTCTTCCCCCTCCTCCACCATTGTGCTAATCTACTGTTCTGCAGCTTGGCTCCTGTAAACGTATAGCAGAACACAGACACTTAAACCAGTTCATTTCAAGCCAAGCTTTCAACCACACCTCATGGCCTTCCTCAGCAGATGGAGATAGTTTAGTTGTTATTTGATCTGGTGTTTACAGATAGTTTGTAGTGTTTATTCAGTCTCTTGTCCAGGGTTGTTGCTGTTTCACTGATATAGTGCCCCTCAGCTGTCACCTAGCACTTTACACTAGTCTTACACTGTTAAAATAGAACCTGTAGTTCTGTTTTACAGTTCAGTCTTGACTAACCATGGTCTCACTTGTACATCGGGTATGTTCAGTTAGTGTGAAAATGTAGATGTTCAAACCATGATTCTGAGCCCTTCCTCTTAAGGGCCCGATCAGAAAGAGTGCAAATTCTGCAGTAAGAGGCGTCTTTTTCCAGTTGTGTTCTATATGTAGTAAGGGTGCATCAATTTGCTCTAATTTGTTTTATCTGCGATCTCTCTAAATGCTGACCGGAAGAGACGATCTACTGACACATTTATTTTGTTCCACAGAAACATTATATTCAGTCTTTGACACACACAGATTTACTCGGGTGGACTGCCCGGTATATTAATAGTCAGAGACTCGTTTAAGCCTTTTGCAGACAAACAGAAACAAATTATTTAATTCACATTCATACGCTGGTGCACAGCATCAGGAGACATTTCTGGTTCCAGTATTTTGCTCAAGGACACCTCGACAGGTGGAGCTGGGGATCAAACCGCCAAACTACGACCAGCTCTGCTGAGCCACAGCCGTCCACATAAAACTATAAAACTTACTGCAGACCAATAAAGTAATAGCCTGTATGATACAGGGAGAGAGAAGCAGAAAGTGGTGGGGCAGCCGTTGTGTGTGAGACAGAGGTGTAGATGTGTGTGTACGGGGGGGAAAGAGAAGGGGGAAAAAGCAAGTGCACAAAGTATTTTGTGAGTAAACAATATAACACAAAAATAGAGTGTATAAAATAAGCAATGAGCTATAGAAATAGTTACACTGTCATTCTGTGGAATGTAAGCTGTTTCCAATAACCAACAACAGGCTGCGGTTTAACCTGTGTAATGTTGAACATGTTTCCTGACAATAAATACACAGTTGTCAATTCATAATTTAATAATGAATGCATATTAATACTTAATATACAATGTTGTTAAGAATTGTAAATAATAACAAATAAATAAGCGACACTATAAACATAAGGCTTTAAATAGACCTGGTAATTGGTATTAGCTGATACCGTTTCTAGTAATCAGCCTCAAAAACCATGATTGCAGTAGGCGCTTTGTGTGCTGCTAATGCACCCTGGGAGCCTTGTGTTTTTGAAGGACTGCTCTGAACTCCTCAAGTTGAAAAAACTCAGAGCAAAAGTGCCAGATTTTTGCTTTCCCCCATTGTCCAATTGAATGCTTATGGAACTGGAATTGAACAGAGAACACCCAGAGAATGGTATCATTGCCGATGCCATCACCTACATTTTGTTGTTCTTTTCACAAAGTTAATCCAGCCAGCGGTGGAAAAAAATTTAAATAAACTCAACATCATGTATCAGGTTATCCCACAATGATCAGTCAGCCATCAGAGTGATCTCTCGTCTAATGACATGAATAGTGTCTTAATTTTCTTCACAATCATTCATGATGTTGTCCATAAGTTGTCCATTTCAGAAGCACCTCAACACACTCTCTGAAATTTACATGACTTGTAAAGCCTGGCTCAATTTCAGTTTCATGGACGGCTAAATTAGGAGCTAGGGACATCTCTAGATAATATTATCATTATTTGAAAATGTTTATAAATATGAAGATTATATCCTTAACTGATATTGTGACAGCCTTAAGCAAGATCATCAAAATCTGGACAGCTCCGCATTTAGTTAACTAATATAATTACTGAAGCATTCAAAATTCAGTCGAGCAAGCAGCTTGAAGAATCACCATACACAGTACATACAAACCCTATCACACTGTACCATTGTCACTCTCCAAAACATGTCTCATGCCACAACATGGACCAGCAGCAGTGGTGTACAGTCTGCTAGCATCACTAATGACCTCCCTCAGTGGCACCGCTGTGTCTCTAAAACAAACCCAGACTGCACAAAGAGAGGGCTGCAAAGGCAGACAGACACAGTGGAAATCAATGTCAATCGTCAATGCACTTCAAGGTCACATCATCCTAGTAAAAAGGATAAAGATTTCTGAGGAAGCTGATGCTTCTCACAATTGTTACTTTACATGAAAACTGAAATTAGGAAAATTATTTATTTATTTTCTGAATTGTACAGTTCAAGTAAGGCTTTTATGTTTTATCCTCTTAATCAGGCTGTATTTTTAGTTTTCAATTTAAAGTTAAGGAGGATCTATTGTCAGGAATGGAATATAATATTCCGAGGTATGTTTTCATTAGTGTATAATCACCTGTATATAAGAATTGTTGTGTTTTTTGTTTCACGCTCAACACGACACAGCAAGTGCAACAAATGCCCTGTGAACAAAAAGCCAATAGGTAACTTATTAATTTAGTCTGCACAAAAGATTTAGACGACAAAAGTACTTTTAACGAAATAGGCTACAGTTCATTCAGGTAACTCAGGCAAAGGCTGCACCGATTATCCATCAAAGTAATGAATAAATGGTAGTAATTCATAAAGCATAAATCATTTCTTATAATCTTGCAATGTAAATTGAAAATACTGTTGTTAGCCAGGTTTTTGTTTGCACTGTAAAGATTTTCATTGTATGCTTTCAGTAAGTTATTGACAGCATGGTTGCCAGCAAGTTGCTGTATTTTGATTTACAATAAACTACTGTAACTGTACTGTAAAGCAATTTTGAGTATATAGAACAATACTGCAATACTACAATTGTACTGTGTTTTTACAGTATTTTGTAATTTGGTCTATTTCTGCTGTATTTTATTATAAAGTACTGTAATATATCGACTTATATTAATATTGATTTATTAGTATATATTATTATTATATTAATATATATATGTCATCAGACTCAAATACTTTTTTTTTTTTTTTTTACATAACCAGGAGGTCCATTTTCCTTATGGTTTGTTCAGGTCTTGACTGACTCACCATTTATGACATCTGGACAGACAAAGAGTATGTGTTTCTTTTTGTTTTCTTCCAAGCAGTGTGTTTAAGGAGGGCTCAAGTAAAACCATGTTACATTGGTCTAGAAGACACTGTCAACACAGCAAACCCTGCTATCTCCATTTGCATCAGTCAGGAGCTTACATCAGACTTTGTGTAGTTAGATTCCTCTGAGGTGCGTTTTGTAAGGCTCTGCATTGAGTCAGCAGTGACAGGTCAAAGAATGTACTATTCTGCTGTGGCTCTGTCAGTGTTTGGGCTACATCACCCAGTGTTTGTTGTTCCAGTTTACACATTTTCCAATGATATTTTTAGACAGCGAGCATACAGTGACCTTGTTTTATTTCTGTTTTCTCACAGGTATAAACATTTCCTACAGGATCTGGCTGCCAACACAAGTCCAGACAACCCGGAGTTTCAGCAGATTTCAAGTAAGTGTCACTTACGCTCGTACTGCTGCCTCAATAATAATTTTCCTGCGTTTCAAGGAAAACATTGCAGATTAACCCCAAGCGCTTTTGTTATTGAGCAACGTGTTTGGAGCTGCACACTCAGAGGTGATGTTGTGACCCCTTCCTCTTCCAATCTGTCAGGATTGTTGCAGTTTGTCAGCGACAGCTACCTAACAACAAGTGATGAGCGTGAGATGATGTGCTTTGCATCACTAGTCACAAAGATTTGTTGGCTCACAGTGGAACTCTTCCTACCTGTGACTAGCGGATTGGAGCACAATAGAGTTTAGCAAAACTGTACAATTATAGAATGTAAGGCCATTCCTCCAACGGCGGGAAAATAAACAAAGAAAACAACCTGTGAAGACTTTCATTGCATCAGTCAGACTCTGTCATAGTGAAAGACAGCCCTCATTATCTTCATTTGGGAAACAATGAAATCCCTTTCATTCCTCATTTGTTGTTATTGTCACAGCGGCGCTTGGCTAGCAGAGAAATGAAAGCGAGGCGAAGCTCAATATGCGTGTAAGTTCCAGTTTGATGTGGATTTTGACATAATTAATTGGGAGCGGATCAGAGGATATTAAGCGGAAGATATATTAATAAATAAAATCTTCAACATCAACACGAATCCCGATAATGACTAATTTCAATCGTCAAATAAACAGCGAATCTGACTCAAGTGCAAATGTACACAAGGAATTATTTATGTGTATCAATTAAAATCTTATTGCTGGTGTGCTGCCTTTGCTTACAAATTAAAACAGCCCCTTACTCTAAGATGAAGGTACATATCTAAATGTGCTCCACCATCGCCTCTTCCTCTTCTCATTAGAGATCCTTTTTTAAACTCTACTGCTTTTTACTGTGGGTTGGGTGTGCATGTATGTGTGTGTGTGTGTGTGTGTGTGTCTGTGTGTGTGTGTGTGTGTGTGTGTGTGTGTGTGTGTGTGTGTGTGTGTGTGTGTGTCTGTGTGTGTGTGTGTGTGTGTGTGTGTGTGTGTGTGTGTGTGTGTGTGTGTGTGTGTGTGTGTGTGTGTGTGTGTGTGTGTGTTTGTGTGTGTGTGTGCGCACACGTAAAAACTTCCTCTAGTCAGCCTGGTTGTATTGTAAAGGGAATTATTTAAAAAAAGATATTCCAGACAAATCACATTGTATCTGATTAAGCAAACTAGCAGATAGAATCACAAGGGGCTTTGTTGTTGTTGTTGTTTTCTCTTGTTGTGCTGCTCGGTGTCGGTTTGCTTTTCCTCTTCTTAGTCTACCCCCCCCTTAGCTCGCAGTGCATTCAGGCTGGATTTAATTGTTGTAATTGCAGTGCTTCAGGAGTTTTCATCAGCCTGCTTTAATATGACACTCTAACTCCGCTGTAGTAAGCTTAACCAAGTCTGACCTGACTAGGAGCAACTCTTCAACTGCGTCAGAGATTTAACAGTAGAAGTTAACAGTCCTCGTCCCGTGGTCAAACACTGTCTAAATAGTGAATAAATGGAATAAAGAGCTGTAAGAAATGGAAGATGTTTTCAGAATGTCTAATGGGCTGGATGTATTATTAATGCCTCGGCCAGAACTCAGCCCAAGAATACTGTAATTAGGAGTTGTTATTTTTCTAAAGCAGGCAATGGAAAATATTCCAAACATGTGCAACAAAAGGAAAAAGTCTACACGGATGCCTTGTTTGGTTTACATTGTAATTGTTGTGAAGTTAAGCGAGCCAATTAGGCCGTGATTATTTTAGTGTAGTGGAGTTGCCCTGAGGATCAAGTTCATCCGCAGAGTTTCAGAGCTCGGAACAAAAGCAGGAAAGTTGAGCTTGAAATTAGAATCCATCTCTTTGTTGTTATTTTGGACGCGTTAATGATGTAGTTCTAAATGTTTACAGCAATTATTATGGCTGGCAGACAGTAATTGGATGCCTGTGTCTATTTTGATGATTTGCCTATTTGTTCTGGGGCAACGATTTTAAAGCTTTGTACCACAAAAAGTGAGGAAGGTAGTTTAAGAAAGAGATGAGAGATTCATGTAATATAATACAGTTAGTCCGTTAACAGTAAGTTCATCAGTTTGACGGATTTACACTGAAAATTGTTCAGTTGTGATATTCTGTTGATTGATTGAGTAGGGCTGAGTATTATTCCTAAAATTCGGGCTGAACTATGTCCATAGTTTCTGTTAAAAATTAGTTTTCTTATGTTTATATTTCTTAAAATGTTGGACCTTGACTTTACTGACTTGTATCTGTGCATAGTTTGTCACTAGTCGACCAGACTAGTCAGATAGTCACAGAAAAACAAAAACAATGTAAAACTCTTACACTAGCCATCTTGATGCTAACTGTTATTTCACTGGTCAACCTAGCAAGCAGCTGTGGTGGTTGGGGCATTCATAGAATTTTTTTTAGTGAGGGAGAAAGAGTAGAATTATTTTTTTATTTTTTTGATGCAGTAAAAACAACAACAAAATTTTAATCAAAGCAGTATGTATTTTTACATACTTAAAAACATGTAACTTTAAGGTAACATTAAACCCTGATGCATTTTTGGTTAAATGTGAAGAATTTTTTTTTTGTGGAAAACATGCTTGCACTGAACAAAGTAACGTAGAATCCTCCAAACTAAATGACAAAATACATTGTTTGCAAGCTTCCAAAATAACCCATATGAGCATTTTCTGATCTGACACCTCTATCAGTGGGGCAACATCATTTGTCAGTGCGTTTAAAAACTGTTACACATGACAAAAAGATGCATATTTGTGTTTTCTGATCATGTTTAATGTTTGGTTGGATTTAGACACAAAAGACCACTTGGTTAAGATGAGAGAATGATTGTCTTTTAATGATTGTTGTCGTCATCACTTAAAGAAGCAAGCAGTAGGCAAATCATGGTCTCCTCTGTTCCAGCAGTTAGAGTTAGAGATTTCCTGAGCCAATTATAAAGATCATTATCATTGTTGATCTGGACATATTTTAATGGGTTGTTATTAAAGGTGTAAGAAAATATCGAAACACTTGAGTATCATGTTTGTTTTGCAATATTGCACTGATTCTCAAAATCATTTTATAATTTTGTGTTCAAAGCCGTATTGTAAAGTGAGGGCTATGATGTTGGGTGTTACAGGGACTGTGCAGAATACAAATACAGATCCCACTGTTCTGGTTGCATTAAAAAGGGAACTAATTACTCAGATTTTATGCATATGGTAGTGTGTTCTTTATACTATGAGCGTTTTCCTAAAATTAGATTTTAAAAGTGGCAATATAATGTCTTGCTTAGAATTTTACAAGTGCAACCCCTAAATCAAGATGCATATTGCATTGCCAGAATCTTGCCAGAACCTTAACTGGTATCAGCTAAAATAAATCTCCTACGGAGTCTGAAAAAACCAGGCACTGGCTCTAGATAGGGACTTTAGTGGAGTTTTATGGATGGATTTATGTGAATAGATGCCACTAAATCCGGGTCCTTTTAAATTTTACTTATCCATTCAGTAAAATCAATGAAATGCTAAATATTAGCTTGTATCAGTTTTACATTATTAGTCCACTATTCCTTAACCAGCAGGGTGTTGTACAGCAGCTGAGGTGGGAATGGTCTGATGTTGTGGTAAACACTTTGGAGGAAATTTTCAGTTTATTTAACCAAATGAGCTGTGTTTATTGGGGGCTGATGTTGTTTGCATACAATTACAGACTGACAGCTCAGCTGATTTCCAAAAGGGCAATGCATTATGGGCTATAATGGCTGCTGTGGTAGAGACCATCCCCCTAATCCCTCTAATTAATATGACCATGCTTCGGCATCCCTACACACACATTGAAACACAACACACAGCCCAGCCCTGACCCACTCAACAGACTATCAGGCCCAATCAGGACTGTTGGGAGGTTTTAATTTGCATAGTTAAGTTCTCTTCAAGAGATCTCTGATAAATTTAAGCAAAATCAGAACAAAGATTTCAAATCGTTTCACATGTCTGTACCTGTGCAGCATTTGGTTGGGTGCAATAGACTTTAGTGTATATCCAGAAGAGGAATACAGCATTTTTGGATTTATTTTGTCTTTATATTCAGATCTTACATTTTCTATTAACTCAGTTGACAATTGAAGAAAATCAGTGGTAGGGAGCTGACAAATCAGGAGAAAAGAGGGGACCGCAGATGCAGCAGTTAATGTGTTTTAACCAAGCAGCAGTAGCTCAGTTGATAAGAACTCAGCTAGGCAACTGGGCTCCAGACTGCTCCCAGAGCACCACTACATGGTAGCCCATCACTCCACCATCTCTGTATGTGTCGTCTTTGTCTTTTTCAAACCTCCATGGCTAGCAAATGAAACATAGAAGGAAGAAAAACTGAAGTTCTCGAACAAACTCTTGGGACTGGCTATGGTAGTGAGAGAAAATGCCCAACTACAGCAGAAATAAGTATGTTTATAGCCTGGTACAAAAAACTGTTTCAGTTTCTATATCTAAATAATCCATTCATGACATCTCTAAGTGGAATGGATTTTTATATAACTCACTAGTTTAAAGTAAATTAAGGCTAAAAGTTATGCATAATTATGGACATGGCCACTTTATGTGACTGGTGGGTGCTGTCACAGATGGCTGTTTTCTGTAACCAGGCTTCATTCAGCCTGCCTCAGCTCCACCCACGCACCACTTATTCGCTCAGTTGTGTTGCAGTGTTTAGTACAGGAAAAAACATATTTATGTTAATATTATAATTTCACAATAAGCAATATCCTAAACAGTATCTGGTCTGATAATAATTTAATGATGAATAATGAAAATGACTTCCAAACTATCTGTGATGTCACAAATCATGCTGGTAGGTAACTCTACACATACATCATTCAAACAGCAAACTGTAGCAACAAGAAGAAACATTGACTGAAGGGGGACTAGAGATGGTAGCAATGCTTGATCGACTAGACTACTACTGTAACTGCACACGTCCCCATATTACTCAATGAGTTTCAACTTTCACCGCAACTTTGCCACAAATGTAACCAAAAACATCACCAAACTCACTTACTTGTTACTAGTTGTGAAGATGCGGACCATGCAGACATGTGCAATGTCTCTTTTCAAATCTTTTTGAAAAGGTTACTTGGAACACTCCTAACAGTGTGATTTTATTGTCATTGGAACTAGTTGCCTTCAAATTTTTTTTTGAAAAGCTGCCTTGAACATTGGCATTTCAGGCTGCATTTTAGTCCCACAATCAAAAAGCCCTCGAAATCCTGGAGGAACTGATTAATACAGTATGTATACAACCAATCTGCAAACTGTCAGGGTGGACATCACAGGTACCAGATCCTGTTTCTGATGTCACACCTAGATATCCTTAGACTGCTGTTTTCTCAAACATAAAAACATACACCTTCGGTGCATTTATGCATGTGTCTGTGTCTCAGTGGAATGATGGGTAAATGACAATCATGCACACATCCACAGAGCGATGCTGTGGCCACAGGTGGAGGGGGAACAGAGGGGTAGTGAATTCCCTGGTGATCCCTGTTCATTTCCCTTCTGCACTACACTTCAAATAACACAATGCCACACAGAGACTCTGCTTTGACTAATCGCATTCAGGCAGCGCTGAGCCTCATAATGTGTATATACAGAGTATGTGTGTGAATGCATGTTTTTTGTTCTTTTGTTATACTTACGAGCACCTTGTGTCCTTACATGCATTGTAACATTGACAAAATTCAATATTTTGCTTCACAGTTGATGGAGACAGGTACACTTATTATTCACAGACACAAAAAAAAAAGTTAAAATGAATGTACCCAACTAATTGACTGAATAAATAAGAGGCATAACAATGGGGTTTAAATAAATCTAAACGTTAAGAGGTCATTTATAAGATGATACACACTCTATCATTGTCTGCCCATAGTTCAATCAGTGGCTCTGGATCAAAGCCGCCGTGTAGTGGATCGGCGCTGCTGTGGCTGCAGAATAAGTCCCTATCTGTTTTTCTTTTTCTTTTTCTTGCTAGTGCGGTGCCCCCTCCATAGGGTGGCTGCCTATAGGGCCTATGCTTAGGTCTGGTGCAGATATTATTTTAGGATTTCATCAACAAATGTGTGGTAATACAAATGTTTGTTTGTGTTTGCTATAGGGGCGGTGACTGCAATATGCGGGGTGTCCGAGCGAATCCAGGACAATACCCGGTGCCATGAGAACCACCTGCAGCTTTGCAGAGTGCAGAGACTGCTGAAAGGGCGAAAGACGAAGGTGTTGGCTGCAGGTTAGAACCTATGCTCACATATTCCTTTTATCTTCACCAAGAACCCCCTCCATCTCTTCTCTACCTCTTCTGCATCTGCGTCCTTTGGGACACACTGGGGTGGGAAGCAAGATGAGTATAGATAAACTGAAGGGAAATGAGTAAGTACGGAGACATTCTGAAAGCACTTGCCTGGATGGCTTTTAATCAATGGAATTCATTGGACTTGGACTTGGACTGCAGGAAACTAAAGTGTTTTTCACACTGAGCGCGCTATATTAATAGAGCATTACTGCTAACTGTTACCAAGTGAATGTGCTCTCTCCCTTCATCCTGCCTTCCCTCTCGCTCAGTTATTTCCCATCTTCTATTCTGGTTCCCTCTCTACTTGTGGAGCAGTGGCCCTATTCTTCCTGCCACTCCCCCTCCTGTTGTTTGTCTGGCCTCTTCGTTGCTCCGCTCACCCTGCCAATCTCCCCTAGGACCAATTAGAGCCCAGCCTCATCTCGCCAACCAGCAGATAAAAAGGAAGCCACAGTGTGTTTTTTTTTTTTGTGTGTGTGTGTGTGTGTGTTCGCTGGATATGAGTGAATGTATGTGTGTACGAAGCCACGAGTGTGTGTTTGTTTGCTTGGATATGCGGGCTTGTTTTATGTCTGTGTTTGCGGATATGTTGGTGCTGGCTTGGAGCGAGCACTGAATAGCAGCTCATCTCTCTAATGCCGATGTGGGAAGTTTCAAAAGCTTCCTCTCATCCAAGTTCTCAGACCCTCGCAACTCTGCCGGCTTCCTTTCCAGCCAATAAAGCTCCAGTCCCACCAGGCAGACTTCAGAGCAACAGCAGCACTAGCCCGCCCCACAAACCCCACGCCGACCCATTCTCCTTCCTCCCCACCAACGCCACCTCTAATGTGGGTAAAAGAAAAGCTCTGCCTTTTACAGATGAGAAGCGTCGGAGCCCCTCAAACATATTAAGTAGCTCTGTAGGAGATGAGGGGGGCGATTGTGAGACACAAAGCCTGAATCAATGGGACATCGATACAGCAGACAGTCAGCCTGTTTCCCTGGGAGGCCACAGATCTGTGTCTGCCTGCCTGTTCCTTCCATTTAAAACAAAGATGTCTCACATTTTCTATCTTGTTTCACATTGATTTTTTCCGATTTATGTCCCTTTGTGTTCCTGACAGATGCACATAATTGTGCTATGCGTTTTCTGTAATGTTTATGTATGTTTTTTTGTCAATCAGACTACTTCATTAAATTAAGCACATTGTAAGTTTAACACTGGTGTAACACTCTTCAGGTGGATTATTTGAAGACCCGTTTGTAACCATCATGACGCTTTTTTAAATAACAGTAACAAGTAGTGTGTTGCCCCCAGCATATTTTATAATACCGCTCCTAGAATTCAATCGTCCAATCATGGCTACTTGAGATAGAGCCTATACGCAATCCGAGTTCTAGTGGTGATGGGAGTGGAAAGTTACTGTACATCATAGCATAACAATGAAATGCAGGCATGGATGACTGGGTCATGAAAAATAACAGCCACCTCACTATTGGTTAACACTATAAACCAGCACAAAAATGAACAGACACATTACAAACATTATGAAAAAGTAACATAAGCATTGTGAAACATAAACGAAAGTTGCATTTTGCAACATAAAAACGTAAAAACTACACAATCAGCATCAGGCCATGTCAAAAGTTTGCTTGGTGTGACAATATCATAGTGCCATGTTCCGTTTAATATTATTTTCTTGTGTTTAATATTACAGTCCAAATCATTCATCGTTCATCATTCCTTTACAGTCCTGAGTTCACCAGTTGCTCAAATATTTGAGAAGACTGTTTGTTATTCGTTACTCTCCAAACGTAACGATGCCAAACCTGACGTGCACACATTCTGCCACAGCGGCTGCGCTCTGCCTCTCTTATTTCTCTGGCCTCGGACACATCAGGAGCAACAGGACCCTTTGTAGATCAATCTTTATTTCCTGCCCTACCTTCCTCAGCCCCCCTACTTGGTCCAGCCCAAAATACTTTGTAGTAGAGCAGAGGTGCTCTTTGACAAGGGAGGCTGAAAGGCCTGGACATGGAGAGGAGTGCTTGGCACTTCCTGCTCTTTGAACTTGCTGCTGCCTCAAAGCACAGTGGATGGTCAGATGTAGGCAGGGGGTCTGAAGGGAACCTGGTCCACAAAGAGACTCCTCCTCACACAGAGGGTATTTAACCTCTTTGACTCTGTCAACTTTGTCTATCGGGGGTCTGATAAGGGATATCTGAAAAGTTTAAAGGTCAGGAAAACCAGAGTTTGCTTTCCAGAGTAGCAGTGATATTAGTTTTAATTCATAAGAAAACATTTTTTTAAAGAAGTTGCATTAGTTCCTTTTCATTGATTGGTTTTAACAGATAATAGCTGTTATCATTGGTTATTGTCTATTTAGAACAAACAGTATTATAGTGCAAACCTCACCACCTAAACTGAAACCACACAGATATATAGATAGACCTGGAGGCACACATGCCTGGTCAGATACAAGGAAACTCATTACATCATAACACCAACATTCTAATGCTGCTTGGTGACAAACATTGGTGCCAGTTCTATTGAAGCTTATGGGAGATGTATTGAGAAGCACTCTAAAACCCAACGTTTCTACATCGTATGACCTTTGATGAAGAGATGCCTGTACTAAATGAAAGGACACACAAGAACACAGAGAATGCTGACAGATTTTTCCCACTGTACGCATTTTGTTTATTTGCTGTTGGTCTTCAAATAGTGTTCAAAGATTATTTTAGGCATATATAAAGCAACATATATGTTGATTTTGGTCAAAATATTTATCCTAAAATCACGTTTCAATGGAAGCTAAACTTGCACCTTTTGATCATTTTCATCATTTCACTTGCCATGAGGCCTGTAAAGTAAGCATCTTTGGATACTATTTAAAGACAAACAGCAATTTGGAAAAAGTGTTTTCCTTCATTTGGTAAGGGCATCTCTTCATAGGTCTTATGACAGATATGTTAGGGTTTAGTGTGCTTCTCCATGCATCTCCCATAGGCTTTAATGGAACTGGCACCATTAGAATGTTGGTGTTATGATGTAATGACCCTTCTTTCTTTTTGTTTTCCTTGGTAAGAGTATAGTTTGACAAAGGAGCAGAGGGAGATCCCAGCACATCTGGATAAACACTACACTTGATGTCTACTGAAATGCATCAGTTTCAGCACACTGGACACTGGCAGCATTCTGATGCTTGAGAAAACATGTAACACATTACTGCCCATGCATGAATTAAAAGTGATGGTGTATTCTGTTATCACTAAATTATGCTATGTTATGTATTTATCAAAGTCCAACTGATATTATTAATTGCATTTCTGTGCCTCTGTGCTGGCACTTTTCGGTTTGTCCGTCCGTACATCCATCGATCAGCCTGTCCTGTCCAATTCTTGGGACCAAGATATCTCAGGAAAGTCTTGAATTTCTACAAATGTCCACTTCGATGTACGGATGTACTGATTAGGTTTTAGAGGTCAAAGGTTACTGTGAACTCACAAAATACATTTTTGGCCGCAACTTCTTAACACTAATTATGACAACATTTCACAACAATGTCTAATAGGATAAAATTATGAAGTGATTACATTTTATATTCAAAAGGTCAAAGATCAATGTCACTGTGTATCATAATGTTTTGGCCATTATTCAATACCATGACTAAAGATTGTGACACAGTGTCACAATATGGTGCAAAGCACAAAACTGAAAATTAAACTTGATGTTTTTTGCAGAAATGCATCTTGGGGTGGTAGCTAACTGGTTTATGTCCACTTACTTGGACCTTTGACATTTCTTTCTGTTGCAGTTCATCTTTTATGGTGATGATTCAAATGGGGCAGTTTCATGCCAATCTAAGCAATAGAAGTGCTCCAACTGTGAGTCACAAAACATTGGCTATGGGAAACTTTAATGGGACTTTTACGTGCTCCAACTTTGCCACTCCATGGGAAATGTAGTATACATTGATGTTGGCACTTGAATAACACTAAAGGCTAGATACCTCCACCTCTTATACTTTAACTCTGACCACACCTTTTTTGGGCTGCAACTAATTATTATTTTTATCATCAATTAATTTGCAGAATATTTTCTTGTTGGTATTAATCATTTATGAAATGTTGAAAAAAGCCCATCACAATTTCCCAGATCCCATGTATTGACATATTCAAAATTAGATTTTTTTTTCTTCCAACAACTGTCAAAACTGAAAGGTAATCAATTTAAAAAATGATAAGCATTTGCTGCTTCCAGCTTTTACAATTTGAGGATTTCTTTGGCATACATGATTTTAAACTTTGAGTATCTTTGGATTTTGGCCAATCTCTCCTTGGGTTGTTGGTTGTTTTACAGCCACAAAATCGGCAAAAATTCACATTTTAAAAGCTGGAATCAAAGAATTTGTGGCATATTAATAATAATAATAATATTTAATACTTATTTTTTGATTTAAAGCAACACAGCCCTATACTTACAGTGTGTGTATACGTACATTCAGCAGACACAGTGCAACACAGGCATCCCAGTCCTCTTCCTATCACTTGTACCACATAAAATTATCTTACAGCATTGCATTCTACGTAATGACATGTCCTTTCTCTGCGGTTATGAAGCCAGAAAATGTATTTGCAAACAGCAGAGAACATGCCTTTCTGCGTAACCACAGTTACCACGAGGATAAAAGCCTCAGGTCTTGCAGTTAATTGTGAGAGATGAGGGCGCAAGGGATCTGTTGCATTAGTACATTTCCTACTGCAGTTTTGTCTTGTCGAAATTACCTGAACAGCGAGTTCTGAGTGTTATTGTAACAACACATTGAAATGACTACTTGCTACATGTCTTTAAAGGGCTGTATAAGGCTCAAACAGGGTTTTATTTATATCATACTTAATAGAACGATCACAACCACCATTCCAATCTCCACACAACACCTGAGAGAGTCATGGGGTGTCTCTTGACTGTTTTTCCGTTTGAGACCCATGGCATTTTAAAAGCAATTTGACCCCTGCCTGGCCCCACCACTTAATCTCAGTGGGCTTGTCGGTAGCTGAAAATGTCCTCTCTGAGCCCCAGAGGCACAGCTCCGGCCACTCAGGCTAGCTGCAATCACAGACTACTGGCTGGGGCAATTACAAAAACACCCTGGACCCAGGCTGAATTTTCATCTTATCTATCCAAATGTCAGCCTCTTGCTTATTAGCTATCATCATGCTGCTGCCAATCATGGTGAAAGAGATGAGAGCTTTCCTCAGCAGCCACACCCCGACATGCCTACCTCCCACTGAGTCTGTCTTAGATTCTCTCGTGTCCGTTGCTCCCTTCAAACAGCCTTCATTTATCTTTTCAATTCAGCATGGCTTAGTTAGTCTCATTATTTTTGTTCTCTGCAGTTCTGCAATGTGATGCTGAGGCGAATGGTTATTACCACATTTACACTGACATAGGGATGTCTGTGTGTTGGTCAATGAATGTGTCAATGGGAGATAATTAGGTTTGCCGTTCAGTGCTATTTGTACAAATCTGAATTCATTATTGAATTCATATCCTTTTGAATCCTTTATCACATTTTAATCTAGTTCAACTTCTAACATTTTCAAGTACCTTAAGTTTAAATCACTAAAACTCAAAGATCTCTAATCAGCTTTTGATGTCAACCTGAGCTAAATCCTGAAAATGAGCTGAGCAGCATAAATATACCTTGGAGTCACCTATTTGTTTGTGGAGTACCATTTTGAAGCCTCTAGTTTGGCATATGGCTGTCACAATGTAATTGACCTTGCCAGCAGCGGTGACATACTGCGAGCTGAGCTGCTCCTATTGGCTGTGCTTAGTTTTGATTTGTTCGTAATAAACATAAACAGTACACTAAAATATGTTTGTGAAAAGTTTTAAGGAGAGAAAAACATTACAGAATTGCAGAACAGAATCTTGATTCATATGTTGTCATTGATTAGCACTTCCTAGTTTGAACCGGCTCTAACCCAACCCAAGTGTTTTTCTTTACCCTGATTTGGCCCATAGATCAACAGAACCAGAGTTTCTTTTTAGGATTGTCATTTATTTTATGTTATTGATAATGACATTCAATTCAATTCAATTCAGTTTTATTTGTATAGCGCCAATTCATAACAGAAGTTATCTCACAACACTTTTCAAATAGAGCAGGTGTAGACCGAACTCCTTATAACATTATTTACAGAGACCCAACAGTACCACCATGAGCAAGCACTTGGCAACAAGGGCAAGGAAAAACTGCCTGTTAAGAGGCAGAAACCTAGGACAGATCCTCTGGCTCTAGGTGGGTGGTTGTCTGTCTCGACCAGTTGGGGTGAGAGAGAGAGAGAGAGAGAAAGAGAGGTGCACAGCAACAACAGTAACAACAACTACACTAATAGTAGTGACTGATGATGAACATGACAACAGCAACGATGGGTGACAATGAGCAGTGACAACAGCAACAACAGTAACCGTAGCTATAAAAATACTTATAATAATAATAACACTAATATCAGTGATTAGCAATGGCAGTCAAGCAGGACCATGGCAGGAGGCTCCACCAGGATCCATGAGAACCTGCGAGACGAGAAAGCACAAGAACTCCGGGGAAGAAGTGAAGTTAGTAACATGCATTAATGGGACATGAATGAGTGCAGAAAGAGAGAGAGAGGAAGAGAGGAGCTCAGTGCACCATGGGAAATCCCCCGATAGTCTAGGCCTATAGCAGCATAACTAAGGGATGGTTCAGGACTCACCTGATCCAGCCCTAACTATAAGCTTTATCTAAGAGGAATGTCTTAAGCCTACTCTTGAATGTGGAGAGGGTGTCTGCCTCCCGAACCACAACTGGAAGCTGGTTCCACAGGAGAGGAGCTTGGTAACTGAAGGCTCTGGCTCCTGTTCTACTTTTAGAGACTATAGGAACCACAAGTAGCCCAGCATTCAGAGAACGTAGTGTTCTAGAGGGGTAATAGGGTACTATGAGCTCTTTAAGATATGAAGGGGCCTGACCATGAAGAGCTTTATAGGTGAGGAGGAGTATTTTAAATTCTATTCTACATTTTACAGGGAGTCAGTGCAGAGAAGCTAGTACAGGAGAGATGTGATCTCTTTTTCTAGTTCCTGTCAGTACTCGTGCTGCAGCGTTCTGAATTAATTGGAGCGTTTTAATGGACTTATTGGGGCAGCCTGATAATAAAGAGTTGCAGTAATCCAGCCTAGAAGTAACAAATGCATTCGTTTTTCTGCATCTGTCTGTGATAGGATGTGTCTAATTTTTGTAACATTAAGGAAATGAAAGAAGGCAGTCCTGGAGGTTTGCTTTATGTGGGAATTAAATGACAAATCCTGATCAAAGGTAACTCCAAGATTCCTGACAGTGGTGCTACAGGCCAAGGTAATGCCATCTAGAGTAACTATATCTTTAGACAGTGAGTCTCTGAGGTTTTTGTGGCCAAGTACAAGAATACTTAAGGTCAATAAACAACTAGAGACATCATGTAAGAGAATTGAAACTGAAACATGTCTTTATTTGGTATTTAATCCAATGTAATTCCGTATATTTCTGAGGTTTAAACAATACTGCGTATGGAACTACAGTTATAGCATGTGAGAGGTGATGACCAGAGATTAACAGTCTTCAATGAATGGGTTAAATGTGTATTCAGTGAGTTTAGTGGAGCTCGTCAAACATAAGTTTACTGTATGACAGTGGAATAGGATGACTATTAGTTTCACAGTCACTAAATCAGGTTGTACCAGTCAGTGTCTTCACTAGTTATGCTGTTAGAAATGTGTAAATCTGTTGCTATGAAACATCTGTAGCAATGTCTAATCATATTGTACTGTGTAGTGTGTAGTTGAGCTTCCAAAACAATCAATGGACTAAAAAGCCTACAGTGCCATAGTTTGAATGAAGTGTGTTTTAACAAGGTCTTAGTTTGGTAGTTAAGGTGTACAGTTGTATTTTCTGTTTAATGTTTTTTTCTTTCCTTTCTTGACATTTGGTGAGTTTATTTTGTTCCGTTGAAGCAAAAGGATGAATAAGTCAGCACAGAGTTAATAATTGTCACAGAGCAGTGACAAAATATGTGGTGGAAGCCTTACAACAAGAATGCTTCTTCCCTTGGAGGGCCAAAAGCAAACGCATATTGCATGCTTTCCCAAGCGGTGGGTCACAGACTTGTTCTGAACGGGCTAGTGCGAGTGAGTGTATGCCAAAAAAATTTAAATAAATAAAAGTCAATTTTAAATACTATCTGATGTCTGACTTTGAAAAGATGACACTATATGTGTGTTTACTAGCTCCATGTGCCAGTGTTTGCTGTGTGTGTTTTTCTTTGTCGATGTGTATAGAAGTATGCAATGCATTCTGATCCATCAGCACTCTCTCAGGGATAAAAATATGTGTATATTTTATGTTAAAAAAAGGTAATGATGACATTGTATATGTGTTTACTATCCTGTTTGAAAAATACATTAGCAGGGTTCCCACATGTCCTGGAAAAGCTAGAAAGTTAGACTAGTTTTCTAGTAATTGAAACACCTGGAAATAATCTATGTTGTCCTGGAATTTTTTTTATTTTAGCCATTCGCTCAAATTACCTATGTAAACCTGGGTGCGTATTTAGTTTGAAACTTGCCTGTTGGAATGATGAGCTGTATGACACTTCAAAGCTGGATTACCAGAAGCAAAGTGGAACTCACCTGCAGCAACATTTTTGCCATCGAGCCTATTTTTTCCACAGCTGGGAGCAAAACTCTCATATCTACATGCATATGCATAACTGTACGTGTAATTAACACTTTCTAGAAGAAGAAAATTAAATAAATTCTCCACTGTTACTTATGGACTGTAGCTAAAGTAATGTAGTCAATTTGCCCAAAACAGCAGCTTTTATGACGGTTAGTAAGCAAGTTCTGTCCTGTATTGTGAAGAAAATCTCCTGGAAATGTCCTGGAAAATAAAAAAAGATGATTTGACCTAATGACCATGGGAAAATGTGGGTGCCCACATGAGACCAATTGAGAAGCCATGTTCAGACTATGAAAAATAATTTGATTAGGGATCCTAGATATTTAAAAAAAACAATTATATCTTATTATATAAAACAACTTATATATATTATTAATCAGTTTGAAATGTTTATCTGCTATAAACATCTTGGCCAGTAGGCTCCATTTTGGGTAGCCCTACATTATACACTTTCAGAACATTAGAATCTCCATTGTTTAGCTATAATATATGCTATGCTATAATGAAATCAGAACAATACAAATTTTTTAACTACAATTCATTAACCACAAAACAAAAAACTTAGAGATTACATGAGGAATCTGCTATTGAAACCCATCCTTTGTCAAGTAGTTTAGAAACATTAAATGGCCAATAGACACAACAGCACTATCCGTCTCTGTGTTAGATATGAAATCTGTCCCCAGGTGTCTCAGTGCATGCTGGGAAAGCCATCCTTGCAAACCAGACAAGCAGCTGCAGATAATGATTTTTTCTGTTTCTGTCTGCTCCTCTCACAGGGAGGTGGTACATCCGTGAGGGCTGGCTGAAGATGGTTCCTCCTAAAGGTGCAGATGCTAAGCCAAAGATGTTCTTCCTGTTCTCTGACATGCTGTTGCAGGCCAAGCGCTGCAGCCCACTGCATCCCACCAACGGAGACAAATTTGCCGGCCAGCACGCCTACCCCCTGAAGGACTGTACCGTGGAGAAGGTGTTTGGCCACACCAGGAGCCAGGGAGGCCTGCTCAGCGTGAGTGTCAACCTGCTAGGCTCGTATCTGCCTTCCTGTTCATGTGAGGAGTTTCTTTCCAAAACATTAGAAGGATCAGGGAGTTTCTGGGATTTTGTTGAGTATTGTATTAGATAGTGTTCAGCTGAGTCAGAGCGGAAAACTGACTGAAAAACAACATTAACAAACCATGCAGATAATAAATGAATAAATTGGAATACTGATTTATTAATGAACAGCAAGAACAATACGTAAGGGAAACAGCAGGATAGGATAGGTTTCCATTTTACATCAGAGCATAAATTAGTACAGCCTCTCTCAAACACATTCAGTGTTATGTGTTTTATGTGATCAAAATTTCCTGTAACTCTTCTTTATCAGTAACCAATGAATTAATTGAATGAAGTATATGTCAGTACTGAACAGAAAAATATTAATTTCTTGTCAAAATGGTAAAAAGCTATGTTGCAAAAATGAGTACACCCTCCTGAAAGTTAGAAAATAACACAATGTTTTGTGGTGCTCTTTAAGGGCAATTAGGAAAAAGACTCTCTTGAAACCTCCTACTCAAAAAGGTGTAATTGTTTGTCAGTTAAAGTAGTCTTTCATCCTTTGAAACACTCTTGGACTTAATTCCGTCAACAATGGTACCAAATGGGAAAGAACTGTCTGGAGACATTAGAAAGAGAATTATTTTATAGAAAAGGATGAGGGCAACATTAACATACCCTGAATGGACTTTAAAAGGGATGGAAACGTCCAGGTCCACGCCGTAAGCTTTTCGGCAAACAAGTCCCTCAGACCTGACAAAAGCTGTGGAAAGCCAAACTGGACTAACTGTTTTTTTCAACATGACAAGGCCACCTCTGCATTCTTAGGTAGAACATGGTGAAAGTGCTGTGGCTCAGAGGTAGACAAGTCGTCCACTAATCGGAAGGTTGGTGGTTCGATCACCAGCTCCTCTCACTGCATGTCGAATGTGTCCTTGAGCAAGACTGCTCCTTATTGCTATGAGTGTGTATGAATGATTATTTGCAGTTCTGGTAAGCAGTTGGCACTTTGCATGGCAGCCACTGCCATCAGTGTGTGAATGGTGTGGCATGTACTGTACAGCACTAGAGAGAGTGGACGAAAAACTAGAAAGGCGCTATATAAGTACAGTCCATTTACAATTTACCAAGTATGTCACCTGAACTCAACCCTATTGAACATGTATGGGGAATTTTTAAGAGACAAGCTGATAGGCACTCCCCATCAAACATCAAGGCACTCATGGAGGACATCCTCCAGGAGTGGAACAGCATTCACGAGACAATATGTTGCTAACTTCTACACTCAATGCTAAGAAAGGTCCGTTAAAAGTAAGAAAGGGTATACCAAGTACTAGAATATTACATATTTGTTGGATTGTGACACTTACACTACCAGATGCGACGTGGAACAGAAAACCTTTTCATTTCAGCTCCCATGTCAGTCAGTCTAGCTGTGCACACCAGTCACGGAACGCAACGGACTTGCAGCAATGTTTTCTGCATTGAGATTGTTTTTTTGTTTTTTGCGACGCCGCGAGCGGAATTCTCAAAGAGGCCTTGTGGTAATGCTGTTGTTGGTTGTATCTATATGCTTACAGCCTATTAGACGTACTATATGTCATTTCTGCCACTATGGGGTCTCTCATGTCAAAACAATAACTGAAGACGAAGTGGTGAAGTAGCGTGGGATCATGGGAGACTTTGTCTTCCCCACCATTGCCATCATTGCAGTCAGCTTCTTCCCAGTTGGACGTGTCAACTGGTGAAACGCACTGTTATCTGAATAAAATGACTAATAATTCTCTGGGTTTGAACATTGTTGGAAACATTTGGGATAATGTAAGAACTCAACATATAGAACAGAGCTCTAGTGTCTATGGACATTTTAATGAGGAAATGTTACATATTATAGCTTTAATGATCAGTGCACTTGTTGTGGTTGATAAATACATGCACACAGCATAGCAAAGAACACCTGTGTCACTAGGCCTACCTATAAATCATATGACCGTGTGAGCGGGATTTGTCCTGTACTGTCAAGAAAAACTGAATAATGTCCTGTCCTGACAAAAAAATTTCTCCAAAGAACCCTGAATTGACACAGGATTTGTAATTTCCTGTGTAACTGTAGAACAATTTAGGAAAAGTTGAATGTTCAAAAGAAAATGCTCAGTGTTTATTGGGCAGCAGGTGGGGGAGACATCTGTTCATTGATTTGAGTATACACATGAGTGAGTCCTTAGCAGAGGCATTATTTAATTTCCACTTTTGATGTATGTTGCTTTGATTTGTCTTACTTATGGCCTTGACAGTTGCTGTTGTACAATCTGCTAAACATAGGTTTCCTGAATGTTTTCCAGCCTCACTGAATGAAAATGTCATTTAGCTGTGCTTGTCAGAGAAGACCTCGGTTCCCTCGCCTCCTCTCCTCCCTAATCACTTCAAACCCTTGTTGAAGTTGCCCAAAAGTTGAACTTTTAATGTGTCTCTCCTCTCAGACTGATCCGTCTCCCAGGTCTCTGTACAGCTGCTGGCTGACAAATTGTGTCTAAATGATGTAGATGCTGTCATGAAACATTCAAAAGAATGAGTCGCGCGTCATTGAGTAACCAAAGCGTTTATGCTGCGAGTGTTTAGTGCCAGTGCCGCATGGTATCAATATTCATTTCAGCAGATACGCTCTCACTCAAAGAGCTCTTTATGTTGTGCTGCTAATGTGCTTCCCTGTGATGCTCAGTGACTGTGTAGATTTTTGATTACTCTACGGTCTGCTCACACCACAGTCTGACCAAAATGTTTGAGGCTTTTTGACACTGAAGCTTGATTTACACAGGACTAATAGTGTACAATATAGGGCTGAATGACATATAGTAATACAACTAGACAGAAAATTATAGTTCAATAACAGATTTTTCATTTCATTTCTTGTCATTTATCAAGTAAAACGACATCAGTGATATTAAACTGTATGTAGCACATTTCAGAAGCTGGTAGATGCTTTGTAGTTGTACCTTTTTAAAATTGTTTAAGCTGTTGGTCAAAGTAAAAGTAATTTCAAATAGAGCTTAATGATTATTTATTTTCGTTATCAATTAACCTGCATGTCTTCACAGTCCAAAACCTAAAGTATTCAGTTTATGGTAAAATAAAATAAAGAAAAGCAGCAAAAATAATATTTATATTTTCTTGACAACTGTAAACAACTAGCTGGGTCTCCACAGGGTCTTAGAAAGTCCAATAATCAAAATTTTAGGCTTTAAAATGTCTTCAACATAATTTTGACAGCTCTTGATATTGATTTGATTAATGTAGTTGCATTCGTCAGTCTTGCTTTTAAATGTGTTTACGGAAAAAGTTTGTATTGATCATCCTGTAACAACTACTAAATGAAACTGACTTGGAAGCAATACAGACCAGTTTGGACATAAAATAGGTCTTAAATTGCATTCAGAATGTTTTTAAAAAGTCTTACATTTAATCTGCAAAAGCCTTGCATAATAACTAACAAATTATTGCCAATTAATTTTTTTGCCTATTGACTAAATAATTGATTAACTACTTGTTAAAACACTTATAGTACATTGAACCACAAGTCACCTGCTAGATTTCATGACAATTTCAGTCACATGTGAAATATAAATATAAAATGTTTTTCTACAACAGAAACACAAAATTCTCATATTTTAGATGCTGTTCAAACACAGATAAAAAGTTAGGGCTGCAACTAACAATTATTTTCATTATCAATGTATCTGTGTATTATTTTTACAATTAATAATGACTTGTTTAGTTTATAAAACATTACATTTTTCCAACGCCATTTTTCATCGTCTGTATGTCAGACCAAGAGTCCAAAGATAGATAAGATTATGATAATTTTACATTTGTGTATTTTGAAAATACCTGAGGGTAAGACAGCTCAGATGTAGTGAACAGAGATGGATGATTTAATATTCCATAGACTGACGTCACTATTGTTAACAACAACAACAAACAACAGTTCTAACTCTTCAAATGTTCATTTATTATTTTGTATAAAAGTACATCAAAAACCTTCATAAACAGACTTTCATAGAAAATAAAGTCTATCAATTGTTTTGGATAAGAAGTCAGGATAAAAGATTATCATTATATTATATATCTGCCCCAATAATTATCACACGTCCCTAATATTGATATTAATCTAGCCCTAAATAAAATACAGTTTAACATCCAACCAGACATTTAATACCGGTTTTTGATACGTGATACTACTCTGTGCTTCACACACATTTTGTGTGTTTGCCCTAAAAATGATTAGTAAAATGTTTATTAGCTTGTTGGTGCAAAGCCTGTTTCCCTCCCTAACTGTCCATTATGATCCACTACCACTCAGTAGTGTCTAGAGAAAAAAAGGATTTTATCAATAGTATGTGGATGAAATACAGAATTTATATATTTTTTTAGAGACTGTGGAGCAGATGAGAGGGTGAATTTAGGTAATCCAGTGTCCATCATGCCTGTTGCAGTATGAGCATGTTGGCATGCCAAGGGACTCATTGTCATGACCAGGCCTATGTGACTTCATTTGTTGAAAGTAGTGTAAATTAAAAGCATCCTTCAAGGGACTAATGTAAAGGCTGCTGATGGGGAGATTAGTCAGAGCTGTATTATTTGCGTGTGTGTAAGAGCCGGGGAGTGTAGTGATGGCTGCCTGCTGTAACAGAATCTCTCAGTTGCTAGATCAGATTAGGCTGCAGATCCATCTCTTCCGGCCCTCCAGTAAATACATCTTCCTCAAGCCTGTCGCTGCTCTCCGCCAGTCCGCTGCACGTTATCTAATGGCAGAAATGGCATTTCATTAGCCTCTTATCCCACCGAGGCCCAAATGCATACTCAATAGCATTACACGTAATTTCTCATAAGGACACATTATTGATCCCGGGCCCCTACCTGAGCTCAAGGAAAAGGGCTGTCAGCACTCCAGGGCCCTCCTCATCCAGGGCAATGAAGAATTAAAGCCAAATTAAATTTGACAGCTGTAAATGCCATGGCAATCTATATGCAAAGTTAAAAAAAAAAAAAAAAAACGCTTTTATTAAAATTTCTGGTGTTTTTTTTTCTCCCTTTTTGTTTTTTTTCCGTTGGTCACACATGTTTGTAGAGAGCTGCCTTTTATTTGCGGCTCATGCTTTTCTCTTCATCTTCTGTCTTCTTCTCTCCCTCCATCTTTCTCAACCTTCTTTATTCTCTCCTCTCTCGCTCTCTCTCTCTCTCTCTCTCTCTCTCTCTCCCGTCTGCAGTCGTCCTCTTGCTAATATCCCCTTGCTGCTTGAATATTTTCCCACATCCCTGACAGATTCTCTTTGATGTATAAATAATCAAGCTAAATTATGTGCAGCGATGAGGCTCCGTGCTCTGCCGTTCTTATTATACAAAGTAATTTCTACCTAAGAGGGTCAGATTTCCTGACAAATCCCTAATTACCGCATTGCAATAGAAGTGGAATCTATTTGTGCATAAATCAACCGCCATCCCCCAAGTGGCGAGTGCCTAATATAATGCGGCACTCAATTCAGCCCCACTTACTGAACTCTGTAATTAGATAATACTTTTGATGATGGTACATTTGAAATCTTAATCTATTTAATGTATAATGAGAGACACTCCCCTTCCCCCGTGTAAAAACATCATTGTGTCTGATAAGCTATATGCTATATCCTCTGTACCAGCGTAAAGTTCTGTCCAAACACACACCTAAATGATCGATATGTCACTTCTCAACAAGCTAGTTTCCCATGTAAGGGCTGCAGCCGCAGGTAAACGTCAAAGGTCATTTAATATGGTGAAGGCCTAATTTTGATCCTCTGTAATAGCTTTCCCAGTGTAATTATGCCGCTCTAAAATCCCCTTTTGTTTGGGCTCGGCTCCCTTTGGTTTGTTTGACAAGTACAATCTGAGGCCGGTTTTAGCAATGTGAATGAGAGAGTTGATAATTACTGTTGACTCAAAGGAAGGGGACCCTGTCACTCTGTGGACTCTGTAGTCCAGAAGAGATCTGAAAACAGGTTTCCATCCATCTGCCGACAGAGCAGAATATAGTGACCTGATTCTGTTACCCTGCTTTTCTCCGAGTGTTCTGGCCGATGAACACCTGTGAGAAGCGGCAGTGGGTTTTGTTGAATGACGAGCTGATAGGCAAGAGGTTTTTGCTTGATTTGGCCTGCCCTCTACTGGTTTCATAATGTCACTGCCGGCTTAGCCCTGCTGTACAGAGGCCTCCAATGACTGACAGATGGTGAGCCCGCTAAGATACAAGCAAAAGCTGATAAATCTACAGTTTTTATGGTTTCCATGCCTTTTGGGAAACACACAAGGCATGCATCTTTGAAATGATGGAGCCGCATGGAGATCATGGAGAAAGCTTACAATCAGGTTTCTATAGTGCATGAACTGTCAAAAGGGGCAGAAGCACAAATTTCTTTTTTTCCAGCGTACTTGTGAAATGACAAAATGTTTCTGAATAATAGTTGCCCATCCTTTTTTAAAAAAAAATATTAATTACTTCTTCCTTTTAACTGTATATCTTTAAATGAAGTTTACATTGCTGAATGGTTTAAAAGTCTGCTAGAATGGAATAAAGTCAGCTTGTGAGTGTGATGCTGTTTGGCAGCTGGCTCTTCTTGGTGAACATGCACCACAAATTAACCCTCAGTCTGTAGGAAACACTGGATATTGTTTTCAGTGCCCAACTGATAATGACTAGGGATGTACGATATGGATTATTTATTTCAATCGGTAATTACCCACTTCTCAGTTAATCAAAAACTTATTTCATCAATAATTTTGCATAAGAATTAAAATTATTATTATGGACTGATATTTTAACAGCCAATTATTTATGTCCCCCGATTATTGCGTGTCCCTAATGTTGATTCTTTTCTAGTTTTCTTAGCATTATTGGTCGATAATGGAAAAAAATATTTAAATACATTCGGCCCAAAAAAAAAGGTATTTTGAATTCTTATTAAAAAAAAAGATATGCTCTGTGAAATCAAAGTATGTGAGTGAAGTTTATTTTTTTTAATGAAAGAAATGAACATTTGAAAAGTCGTAACTGTTGTTTTTTTTTATTAACAATAGTAATATCAGTATCGGCCATGAACAGCAGGTAATTACCGGTTATCGTATCAGTTGTAAATAAATCCATATCGGGCATCCATAGGTATACCACGTTGAACCCTGAACCCGATAAGTTGTTTTATCTCATGTTTTCGTCATCAAATTATAGAATCCTTTTGTATTTCTGAGGTAGGGTATACACCGTTAAAAACAATACACATTTCCTTTTGTGAAGTGATGCCACGATGAATTTTTCATCTCACCGCTTTTAATCTTCACATATTTGTTTCACGATTTAACTGTTTAACTGCGTTATAGCTTTATTTTTTTAAACCTGAATATTTTTTGTTGGAGTCTCACTGAAATGAACATGGAACCAATTCAGTACACCTCACACACACCCATGCTGCCGACAAAAATCCTAATTACTCTCCTCTTCCTCCTCTTCCTCCAGTTAACCTTCCCTAAAGCCAAACTCCTGCTGATGTCCAGCAACCAGGAAGACTTCAATGACTGGTACCAAAGCCTGAGCTCAGCTATCAGGTATGTGCCTGCTATAATATACTACTAACAGTTGATCGTTTTTCAGTTAGGCCTGCTTTAATAGAAAAAGACAGATTTGACTGCTTTCAGGTATCATAACTCAGGAACCAGCCTCCCTGTTGAACTGTTGATACTGCTCTTAAAATAAACCTCTGCTTCAATCCCTCCTAAACTTTCTCTAAATTTAGAGAATACAAATTGTTTCCACACTGTATAACATACACTGTGTGACACTACCATGGCTCATTGCAGCATTCTTTATTAGTTTATGGCATTTCCGTACTAACACTGCGCAACACGAAAACAGCTAACACTGACCACCTACCTATAATAAACCCGAGACACCTCATCATGAACCCTGCATTGTTAATAAGTAAGTCCGAAAATAAGTAATTTTCCTACTGGTAAATTCTATGAAAAATGTCCTGAAAAAGTTCTTGGAAAATGATTTCTTAAAAAGAGTGTGAACCCTGTACAGTGCATGTGTTCATGGTAATGAAGGAACAAGTTCAGTGCAACAGTGTGTTTAATGGAGCTCTATGGCACAGAGGAAGAAGCTATATCAGTTAGTAGATTCATTCCCTGTTGGTTTGAGTCTTTATATAGTTTTACAAGAATCAGATTAAGTTATTTATATATGATATTGAAATAGTGTGTGACTCATGTATTTTTGTATATTGTCTTGTTGTTTTTCTTATGTTAAATGGTAAATGGTAAATGGAATGTATAGCGCTTTTCTAGTCTTCTGACCACTCAAAGCGCTTTTACACTTTGTGCCACATTCACCCTTTCACACACATTCACTCAGTGAATAGCAAAGCCCATCAAACAGAAACTAACTCATTCATACACATTCACACACCGATGCACGGCATCGGGAGCATTTTGGGGTTCAGCATCTTGCTCAGGGTTACTTCGACATGTGGCACCAGGAGCCGGGGATCGAACCCACAACCTTCTGATTAGGGGACGACCAGCTCTGCCCCTTATTATTATTATTATTGATGTATCTGATGTAAAGCATGTAGCTCAGAACTTGAGCCGTCTTAATTAATAAAGTAATATGTTGTGGGATCAGTATGCAGTGTGTGTACAGAATGACTCTCGGTAAAACTTTGACACAGGCTGATACTGTACCTCAGGCCTGTCTGTCTCTCAGACAGCCTCTCAGCATTGATCAGCCAGGCCTCAGTAACTCCACTCTCAGCTCGCCTGGCCCCGGCTCCCTGGAGGAGGGTCCGGGTCAGCCCAGCTATGCAGAGGGGCCAGCTATGCTGAGGGCTCCCAACCCCAGCGTGCCCGGCCAGGCTAATTAGTTTATCACTTTGTCAGAGAGGAGAGAGAGGAGGCTGTCAAAGAGCTTAGACCACCCAGCAGATGGGGGCCGAGGCTGCAGGCTGACGTCTCTAAACTCCAGGGAGCGTAATTAACTGTGGTGGAGGACCGAGGAGAGGACAGGCTGAGAGGACCAGGGGTCAGCAGCACTCACACCACTGTGGAGAAGTGCAGGGCTGAGGGTGTATGTGTCAACACATAGCTGAATTATTGATTTAACAAAGACTACACACTGCCTGCACTGACATCTCTGAATCTATGGGATGTTGCTCACAGTGATTATCAAAAATGTATTGTTTTCTGAGGTTAAGTCATATCAGCTTTTACTGTTCTTGATGATAAAATATCCACTTACACACACACTCATCTCACTACTACCATCTTTTGTTTATGTTTATTTTAGTTAAGAAAAGACAAGTAAAGCGATAATGCCCAACGAGGTGGCCATTATCAGGAGTTAATGGACAACGTGGAGACCAGAAATGTCTGATGTGCAGCAGAGCTTATACCGTGTTCACCAAAGGATAAAAATAAGACCAATAATATATATTTTCTTTTTCACAAGCCATAACTCAGTTTTCCTTAGTTTCCTGAGGGTTTGACTAATACCTCGAACAATTATTACTATCCAATAAGATTCTAATGCAATGGAAATGTTGTTCACTACTCCAGTAAATAGGACAACATTTAGATACAACTTAGTATAGGGAGATATTTCTAGTGCCCTGCACTCATAATGCCCTTAAGCTCAGGTGTGAGCCAGAGAGCTAACGTTATGCTAGTCAAAGTCAATAACACTGCGTATGGTCGACAAAAGGTACCCATTCACCCTCCTTTTCAAAGTGCGAGGGAGAAATTACAATGGCCGCAAAAAACGTGAACGACCCATCTAGAGCAGTTTCCATGTGGCAGCTTCCATGTAAGGCGTCCCACGGCCTCTGTAGACAAAAACAGCTCATTCTAAGGTAACAAAAACACAATTCTTATTTCATGCACATGAAAACATACATATGAATATTATATTCTATTTCTGACAATAGACCCTCCTCAATGTTACATGCTGGACCTTTAACTAACATGAGCACTTCGGCCTATCATGTAAAAGTGCCAGATGTAGCCATACAGGCTAATTTGAATCTGCAGTCCCTGACAGGTTGATGCATATGCACAGACAAAACCACTTCAGCAGATTATGACAGCATGTTTGATTAGTCATAACCATTGATTTATAGATTTGGAGAATTAGTTGAGACATGTGATGTTCCTCTGTTCTGTAGGAACAGTGTTCCAGGTATACGTATGGTATTTTACAATCCCCTCTGGTAGATGAGTTTGGATTTGGTTTAATGAATTCATCAAGCTGACAGTTCAAAGTTAACTTGAAGAAATTTTTTCAACTTTAACTCTTGATTTTTTTCTTTGCAGAGCATTTCCTTTTGTTAAAAAATATTAACACACACACACACACACACACACACACACACACACACACTTCTAGCCGAGGGACTTAATTAGCGTGTAGATCAATGCTTGGTGACAGTAAGTGAACGGTGAGCTGAGGCCTGAGCACCTGGGATGTAGTGAGGGCTAAAGACAGTTTAACTCGTACTTACCTTTTCCTCTGACCCTATCCACCTCCTCAGCCTGAATTCAATACATTTTGTAATTTAGTGAGTGTAAAAGTGTGTAGCGCATCCCAATAATCACCAAAATACAACATGCCATCTTTTACATTCCCCCCCCCCTGTTGTTCCTTATTTTGGAAACTATACTATCTTCCACACATCCAGTTTGACATTTTTTGGGGGGATAGAATGGACAAGCCAATCCTTTAGCCATACTGACAGATTAGGATTTTGGAATAACTGGAAAGATGTGGGGCTCCCCTTTGTGACAATTCAAAAAAACAGAGGGAACTAGACTTACTCATGTTGTTATGGCTGATCGGTGTATTGAAACATGAGCAGTGTTGAGCTAGTTACTCAAAAAAAAATATTTGTTACTCTTTTCAAAAATAATATTATTACTTTACTCATGACTGATGATTAAAATCCAGTTTTGTTTGATAAAATCAAAGACGTGAATATTTCCAAGTGTTTCCATCTTCCAAACATATTTCCTCCACGATTACAAATATAAATCCAAGGATGTGTTTGGATTGTTGGATTTCAAATCAGTAGGGGGTGACAACAAAGGTAAGATTGTAACTAGTTACTTTTTTGTTGTAGTAACTGAAATATTATTACTGTATTAGTAATTAGTTACACTCTAGTGAGTTTCTTAACTACCACTAAATGCTTGTAAAGTGAGTGTACACTCTGTAAGGAGATGGGGTCTCCCAATTATAGCTACTGTGAGGAAAAACTGAAAGCCTGTAAACCAACATGCATTTATTTTGTATCATTTATAAAATATCTCAAATGTGTAAGTTGTTTTACTGATGAGGTTAAAACAAGAGCCTTAAGTTTTACGAAATGCACATATTTTGTTTCATAAAGAAACATATCTCTTCAAACTGGCTGCTTGACCTGTTCAAGAAAGTACGGCGTGGTGCAGAAATAGCAGTAAAAATGGTCAGGAATGTTCACGTGCACAAATTTGTCGGAAAAAAAGTTGTGCTCAGCCAACAAGCTATGAAAATATCTGTGTGTGCGGTGGTCTGTAGGTGGAAAAACATAATTTATTAACAACATGGAGAATGCCTTTGCTGCTTCGAGTGGCACATTTTACTGCATTATGTCTTTTTTCTTAATTTATTTTTCTCTCTGCTATCGTTTTGCAGCATTTGCCTGTGTAAACTGCTTATGCCAGCATGTGGCTGTGGGCAGGGAGCCAGTCAGATAACTGTAGGAGGTTTTTTACTACAGTCTGACTGAAACATAAGTAACAAGAGCGCTCAGTAGAGAAATTATATATTTTTGTCATTGATGATGTCATTTAGAAACAGTGTGTCCACAGGATAACACTGACATGTTTATTTATCCTGTAAACTTATAAAGACGAGCAGGTTTTCCCTTGAGAATTATGTTTTGATTCAGCAGGCAGTATGTCTGTGTAATTTTTGTGATCGACTTTTTCATTTATATTCCACAAGGTTTGTAGGTGTTCTTTATCAAGTAACATCTGTCAGTAACAAAATGTGAACATAAATGGACCAGGGCATTAATATTTGGTCACAATACAGTCACACCGTTATGACTGAGACAGTAAACGATACAGCAGTGCAAAAGAAAACATACACCTGCAACTTTGATCACTCCCTGACCTTCCCCCTGGGTCTATCTCTAAATTCCATTGTACATGCAGAATACAGTGCATTGCTAGGAAATAAGGAAGCAAAATAAAAATAAACATTTATATTATGGTTCTATTGCCTCCTTCCATGTAATTGGGTTTTTATAGTTTAGTTTATTTTAGTGTTTGCAAGTGTGCTGTTGAAAATACTCGGCTCTCACAAACAAGAAAAAATAAGACAATAAAATGGGGGACATAACTAAAAATAAGCAAAATTATCTCCAAACAGAACAGGAAAATGGGACTAAATTTATCTTTTTTTTATTCATCTTCGGATAAGGTTACACTGGAAAAATATCATATTGTACTTGAGTAATCCCGACTGCAATAAAGGTACTTGTACTATAAATGTGATGTATGTATGTAAATGTTTACTTGTAAGTATGTCTTTATTGTGACATGTCAGTTTTTCATCAAACAATTTCTTCAGTCCAAGACAATTTTCTGTTAACAGGCAACAATAAAAGTAACCTGGATGTTGACCTTTACATGAGCATACATATCTACCTGTTTGTGGCCATGATACTCATTTGAACCCAGAACAACAGTGTGTTTTTGACTTGGAAGTTAAAGACATGCTCACCTCTGACTTGAACTTGTATCTGGGGGCAGCCAAAACATTAATTCAATTCAATTCAATTCAATTTTATTTGTATTACACCAATTCATATGCATTGAAAATGAGCACAGAGTCTAAATAGAAACATGATACGCTTAATAAACTGAGCACTGATTACAGGACTGCTGTAGAGGATGTCATTAAATTGTACAAATGTGTGTGTTGTCTTCACAGGAAGCTGCAGTCTAAGACTGTAGTCCATCAAAGAGACGAGTTGTGCCGGAGACCTCTCCGCTCAGCCTCCGACAACCACAACACACCCAGCAGCAGCAGCAGCAGCGACCCTAGCAGGAAGAGGAACATGGTGAGTTACACACACACACACACACACACATACATTCTCACATACACGCACAGCGATACCTTTTAACTTTCTGTGTCACCACATTCAGGTTCATACAGTAATACCCATAAAGTTCCTTGATGTAATATCTACAGGGAAATAGAGAAATATTCATGGGGTGTGCATAAGGTGGATGGAGACTTTAAGGGGTGTCAGAAATATAATTTAATCATATAAATATTTGCTTGTAAATACCCCCAAATGAAGATATTTGAACTCGGAAACATCATTGTGGTACATTAGCAAAGCATTGTGTAGAAATATCTAAATGTGGCATTGGAGGCCTTAATACATTGTTTTATTTCCATTTTTTTAAAATTAAACTTAAGCCTATCACTCAGTCTAAAATGTGGCAACAGATGATTAAATTCAATTCCGTTTTTAACACTATTTTTAAAATGAATCTATATTAATGTGTTACATTTTACAGCATTTGACACCAAACTGAGGTGGCCGCTGTCACCCCATGACAGCCCCCCTAGGTTCGCCCATCAATATCTCAGAAAGTTGAAAATTATTAACTAAATTTATTTATTTATTTATTGACACAGTTCACACACACTGAAATAGATCAGTGTCAAACCCTTGTCGATAACTAATGACTGACTTTCATTTGGATGGCTGCTTATCTAGTCATAAATATTTCCAGAATGAAAAGTGTCTCTGCCCCTCTCTTCAGGTGAGCACTGAGACCGGTGAGCATGCTCAGAAGCTGCCAGCCGAGTGGGAGGGCAGCACCCCCAAAAAGATGAAGCAGTCTGACACTCCAGAGCAGAGGTGGGTTCCCCTTCTACTTCTAATGTGTTTTGCTTTTTGTTCCTTCCCTGTGATGTTGGAGCTGTTGTGTGAGACTGTTTTCGAATCTATCTGTTGAGAGTAGAAAGTTTCACTTTAGTCACCTTAAATCTGAGTTCAACACCTGGGTATATGGGATGATTTTGTGACATCACAACTAGTGAGGAGCCAATCGTGGTCCAGTACTGTTTTTGCGATCATTCCAAAAAAACAGCAGAAGACAAAAACCTGTTGAAGTCTTTCATAATGTTTAACAGTAGGTGTGTTTCTCCCTTGTAGACTACTCCCGCCTTGCAGACTGTTGACTAGTTGGTTTGTTTATACAAACAGAGCTGACAGTAAACAGCAAAACAGTAAAAAACCTAAATGAGATGCATATAAATAAAGTATTTCTGATCAGATATTCCGAATGCGCTGTATACTTGTCCGAAGAATGCTCCTAAAACTTGAATAATATCAGCATATTTGTGTGTCCTAATCTGAAAATGTTCCATTCATAAAAAGGCCTAATGAGAAATATCCAAACCTTATCAAATGTGGAATATTGTCATATTCAGAATGATTGTGGAAAATGTTATTCCTTGATTGTGGATTTTTCAGTGAAGGATGTCATTTTAATAATATTTAATTAAAAAAGGTTCGAGTTTCCAACACTTCCATCTCTCTCTCTCTCTCTTTCTCTCTCTCTCTCTCTCTCTCTCTCTCTCTCTCTCTCTCTCTCTCTCTCTCTCTTCCACCGGGGTGTCATTTCTTATAATTACATATTGTGTTTACTATCAATTAACTGTACCCTAACCCTGAACTCTTTGTTGGAAAATCATATCAGACACAGATTATTATTCATATTTTTTATTTTTATATTTCTTAAAAGATGTCTGAAGGGGATCTGTAAAGACTTGAGGGAGACTTTGTGGCAGCAGCAGATATTCACAGCTTAGACTTATTTCAGAGTGAAGGCCGTGGACTGTCTTATAGTGATATGGGTTGTTTCTGATTCAGTGTGATTTGAAACATTTTACTTGTGTGTCCCGCAGTGCGGAGGAATCCACTTCCAGTTGTGTGATCCTCTGAAGGACTTGATGGTGGATCCTGCATGGTCTGTCTGGGAGTTTAACTTCAGACAGACTGTGGTGTTCCAGTTTTGCCAAATCTGCCAAACTGATCTCTGCAACTTCTTTATTCCCATGCGTTGCAACACGAAGTCAGGAGAGGTTTGCATTCTTACTAACAGCAGCTTCAGCTTCTGCTCATCCTGCGCAATATAAACTATTTAACTGCTGCTTTAAAGGTCCAAATATGAGATGAATGTATAACTTTGAGCAGTATGTTGTTTTTGCTGCTGGTCTCCAGCAAAGATTGATCTACTTACACTGTACACACCAACACTGTATTCGTGAACTCACTTCCACCAGTTAGCATTTTCCACTGTGTTTACATGCAGACTTCAGAGAGGAGGAACAGAGAGGAGGAAATAAGATCTACTTGGATAGGCACTAACATAGGGAGACGTGAACCTGTAGTATCCACTTACAGAACAGGAGCATCACACCTCTGATTCTGTCCAATCAGCTCTTTAAAAAAGGAGTGACACCTTTCACTGACTGAAGGAAACAGGAAGCTCTGACTTCACTTTCACTTCTTAACAAGCAATCATATTACATCAACACTGCAGTAGGTAACTTTTATAAAAATATATTTTTAGCATATTTACTGAAATTTTGACTATGACAATATCTTGACAGTAGTACATTTGACAGATAATCTGTGAAAACAATCAGGTTCCTCTGGCTCCGTGCTCCTAATGGTATTTGCAAGAAACCACCTGGCCCGAACAACAAAAACAACCAATCAGAGCCAAGAAAGATAGACAGTTTGGCTTGGTGACTCAAACATAGTTGATTGTTGGTAGTGTTCTTATTGTCGACCTGGGATCTTTTTTGGCACTGATTGATTTTGTTCAGTGGATCTTAAGTTAAGTTCATGTTGACTGGGAATCTATTTGTACCAACTTAATATGGATGCTTCCAGCCAAAGTCCATCATTTTAGGTAACCCTATTTATTAATTAAATTCATTCAATGTACACTCCTTATCCAGCTGTTCTGCATTGCTGCTGTCTGTCCCATTAACTTCACACAGCTTTAGTGCCTCACACAAACATGACAATCTGCTCAAATGTGAAATCTTTGGGAATGTCTGATTTGATTATTTGATTGCCAGATACGTACTCATTGTTTTACCTGTGAGACACACCGTGATGATTTTTTTTTTTTATCATTAATTGAATAAGTGCATTTAAACAGCTACAGTTTATTTTAGGAATGACAGTCTGTGTTTAGGTAGATTTCTGTGTCTGTGTCCAGGCAAGAAAACCTGGTTGACAGATATGAATTTCTATATGCTGACTGTCTTGTGTGATGTCATGTCATTTATCCTTCATTAGATCCTTAAATCATATCCTTTGTTAACAAACGCTTCTCTTCTGCATAATACTCCATATATTTTATTAACACTAGTTTGCATTTTTAAACGTTTTAGATATTATTTTTTAGTATCCTCTGTCTAAAGCTGGTTACAAATCATGTGGATGAGATGGAAATAATGGGAATTTCACAATAAAACTCTAAAAGAAGTTGTGTATTTGTGTATTTTTCAGCATAGGTTTTCTTAACATCCACTAGATAAAGAGCCCCAAAACAGTGGTGTAGCAACCTTTTTCTTCTCTTTTCTTTGGTAGTGTTCTATCACACTTGGAACAGGGTGAGACAAGGGTCTTGTAATCTGCAGCACTACTAGATTAAATGCTACACACTGGTCCTTGAAATCTTATTGACAGGTGTGTAGGATCAAAAACCCTCAAACCAAAGAACACCGCACACTGCGGTCATCTTTACTCATCAATTAGAACAATTTGGTCTTTAAAAATGACTTTTTCTTCTGTCACAAAACAACAATCCGGTGGCGTCCATATGAACACTGAAATAGTTTTTACTTTACCAATTAAGCATACCTTTCTAACACGATTCCAGTTTAAGTGAGTGGGAAGTTCTTTCTGTGCCAAAATATATTATTATATATTATATATGAATTACTGAAATCAATCGAGTGTTTTTAGTACCAAATTAATCCCTTTTTACTTTCTGACACAGTTTAACGTTCATTTACTTAACAGTGATTCGAAGACATGATAAAAGGACCAAAATAGAAAAGCAAGGATCATCAAGTCTATCTAAAAGATATAAAACACAAGTCATTTTAGATCAGGTGCATTTGATATGCCAGGATAGTAAAAAAAAAACATCCATGTCACTGAGTAAGAACCTAGAGTGAGTGAAGGAAGACACCTGATGGAAGAAAGATGAGGGTCGCAAACCTGAAGGCATCTGAGGTTAAACTATATCCTATATTTGGTTTGGAGGATTAGTCCTCCTCCAGTAGTAGGCCAGTACTGCTGATGAAGACATTTTAAATTTTCAACACTTCTATAAGTGGACCACCGAGCAGAGAGAGCAATTAGGTTTCTATTTTAGAAGGCAAATGATGGGTGGTCACTTCATCAGCAGAGTCCACACTAAGAGACTCATCGCACTGATCGTTTCTGTTCACCATCAGACAGACTAAAAGCAGAGCTCAGAGATCAGTCACTGCAGTACGGCTCTATTGACACTAGATGGAGGCACAGACAACTCTACTGTCCCTCGTGAAGCAGCATATACTATAACCACTCAAAGTAAAGACAAAATAGGAAGAGAGAAAATATATAGAGCGTAAATTAAGGATGCAGCTAACAATTATTTTTATTATCAAGTAATCTGTTGATCATTTTTGTTTAATCGATCAGTTATCTTGTCCATAAAATGTCAGAAAATGGTGAAAAAGTTTGACCACTGTTTCCCAAAGCCCAAGGTGATGTCCTCAAATATCTTGTTTTGTTCACAACCCAAAGATATTTAGTTTACTGTCATAGTGACCCAGACATGGGTCGTGACCCAGACATGGGTCGCAAATAAATGTATTTTTTTATAAAGTGAGCTACATTCTGTAAGGGCATGGGGTCTTCAAATTACCATTACTGTGAGGAAGCTGATCAGAGGAAATAAAAACAATAAGAAGGCCTATTACAGTAACCCTGCTTAAATGCATTCATTAGATCTCACTTATAATTTTTTAAACTATATTATTTTGGGCTTTTATTGCCTTTATTATAGTGACAGCTGAGGACAGACAGGAGGGGGGGATAGCATGCAGCAAAGGGCTGCAGGTCGGATTTGAACCCTGGACCGCTGCAGCAAGGACTGAGCTTTGGTGCGTGGGTCGCCAGCTCTACCAACTGAGCTAACTGGGCACCCCTCATTTATAATATATAATACAAAGCTGTAATTTATCAAATGTATATCTCTTCAAAATGGCTGCTTTAACTGTTCAAGAAAATATGGCATGATGCAGAAATAGGAATGTTAATTTATGCATTGCCATGGTTTGTCATTTTTAAAAAGTGGGTCCCCAGAAAAAAAAGTGTTGGAAACATTGACATAGAGGACTAAAAAAGCTGAAGATATTCACATCAGATAATTTGACCTTTTTTTATAACGTTTTTATTAAAATAAAATACTAAAAATTGAATAATCAATTATCAAAATAGTTGGCAATTAACTTAATAGTTGTCACCTATTTGGATTAACTAATTGTTTATGAAATTCTAAAATAAGTGCAAATAATGCCAAAAATATAAACAGGTAAAAATCATAGATATGTATGAGAAGTGGCATGTAGAGCAACCGTTGCAATTACAATACAATGCTCCTTGAAATGTTCCCTTTCTATATGGAAGGTATATTTGCATATAATAAATGAAAGTTTGATTTAATTATGTATGGAACTCTAAAATGGCCAATTTTAAAATAAATAAATAAACATAATATATTATCTGTTTGAGTGTATTGGCATAGATGTAACGTCAAAGCAGTTCCTACCTGGAGGTTGGGACCCCACTAGGGTCACCAGTTGCGCCCCAACCAAAAACCAAAGATTGTTATTTTTATGTTTAGACTATTATTTAAAATCTAAACTTAGAAGAGCTGAACAGAAGCTATATTCACAGAGCGTTCACTCTCTGATAAACAGTGCACAAAATGTGATTAAGTTTTCCTTTAGGGTGCTAATCCTAACCCTGAATGTTTCACCATAAATGCATCACAACTTTCTGCATGTTGGTGCCCTTTTTCCAGAGTCCACCAGACCTGTCCAGTGTTGGACTTTACTAACATTCTTGTGGTTGAAAGGGAGCAAAATCCTGCAGCTGGGATCAAACATCTGTTACAAAGACTGAAAGTGAAAGTGAAACTTTTTTAATCTGGTCTTCATTACATTTTTATGATTGTATCACTTTTGTTCTGTTCTGCTGAAATTTGCAACTATACAGCTAGATGCCACTAAATCCTACACACTGGTCCTTTAACAGCTCTTTTGTTTGAGTACATTCAAATTTAATTTGTGAATAAAGAATTTGGTCAAAATAATAACCAAATGGCACAGAAATTCATGTCATATTCCATGACTCCAAACAATACTAATAATTCTACAGTAACATAATGTGAGGGTATTATCAGCAATAAATGGTGCCAGTTTGTTTTGTATGTGACCAGAATAAATGTAGCAGTGTTTCTCTGAGCTGTCCACAAAAGGCACAGCTTCCATCAGTCCCTCCTGAGTTTCTACTCATAAAAAGATGAACAGTCTTTGTTACTGTCATGTTCACACTCCTCTGTCTGTTCTCTCCTTCCTCAGATAATCAGCTCTGTCTGTGACGTGTTAATACAGTCTGCACCATATTTAGCCTGTGGCCCCTGCAGAGAGACAAGACTGGCCTGGAATACATTTCTCTGCCCGTCAGGTGAACAAAGCCCATTCAGCTTTTAGCATCATTGATTTACTTGGAACGTTCCACTACTTCTGCCATCTGTTTTTAAAGACATTTATTCTCTCTGGCGGGTAAAATCTGATAGAAATATGATCTAAAATAATAACAGCCACGCTGCTACACATATAAGCATTTCTAAGTAGAATCTCTGAAAGCTGCTGTGACACAGCTCTGTGCATTCCTGCATGTAAGATGTGATTGATGTGACCAACCATATACACACGGTTACTGAGCTGGCTCTCCTCATTATTAAACTTGTGTTCACCATTGTTTCTGTCTTGTTCTGGAGGAACTTAATGATACATGAGATTCCCTCTAAAACCCCAAAATAGCCCTTCTGCATTATGTATGACCGTTATGAAGGCGTTACATAAGAAGGTGAGAGGGATGTGGGAGGTGAAAGCGAATGTCTTGTGCTTCTATTTATTCTCAATGTTTATAATCTCTCTCATTATCATTAAAGTGTCTTTAATAGTCTGAACTAAAAGCTGTAAAAATACACCTTTCTGAAGTACTTTGCTATAGAATTTCCATTTTCTGCTACCCTTTACTCAGAAATCTCAATTTCCCATCAGGAAAGGAGAAATGTTTGTAATTCAATTTCAGTGTCCCAATTACAGATTCTCCAAGTGTGTGGAACTCTAGTGGTGGATGAAAAAGTATTTCCTCATTTGGCATTCTGATGATGGTCGCTCCAGTGTTTCCTATGGGTGTTCAGTTTGGTCATAACCAGATTCATCTTTTAGGGACCCTAGTGGGGAAAAAAATTATACTGCCACTTCTGTGCGGTATGTTTCCATTAAAGGACGAGTATGTAAGATTTAGGCAAGGCTACACAAATTGATCTGTACGCATATTTCATACCCAAAGTGCTACAACAAAAGCAAGCAAGCAAAAGCACATAAAATAAACACAGATAAAACTAATTTGATTGATTAAAGATGAATTTAAAGCAATGGTAAACAGATAGCTTGGATTTGAAAGTAGTCAGCATTGCAGTCTTAGTTCTCCTGGCAGTTTGTTCTACATTTGAGCAGCATAGAAATTTAAGGCAGCTTCTCCACACTTAGTTTTGACTGGGAACAGTAATCCAGGATCAGCCACCCTGAGAGGTCTGCAAGCTTGGTACTGGGTCAGGAGATCTGATAGGAGTCTTGGACCTAAACCATTCAGAGACTTGGACAGCAGTAGAATTCAGTTGATTGGTTGCTTTCATTCAGGCCCGATGGATTCTTCCAAATGCCATTAGGAGCACACAGATTATCTGTCTCATGTGCTACTGTCAGGATACAGTGAGAGTTTCAGCAAATATGACAAAAAGTTAATTTAATAAAAGTTACCAACTGCAGCTTTAATACATATGTACATCTGTGACAATAATCCAATACTATAATGAGTACAGCATTCTGAAAGGGGAAATCCTTATCAGACTTTGGGAAATGATGAAGTCCTCATTGAGCTCTGACAGGCTAATACCCAGAGCAGGAGGCGCCTCACAATCTGTGGCCCTCAGTGTTTGGGGTGCTGGACAGGAAACACTGTGGTATTGGAGAAGAAGTTGATTCAGTTTCCTGCCATTATACATAATTCCATCAATTTGCAGTTTAATAATGCAGAGACAACTCAGAGCGGTGGTTCTTCCTGCTCTTTTCATCTGCACACATCAGACATCAGCTTTAAGAATCAAAGCAGGTTAGCACAGGAGCGACTCC